CACGGGCACCGTAGCCGGCCCATGCCCCTTTAAGGGGGCCGGGGCCGGGAGGGGGGCAGACGAGTTTCCCTGGTGTTGGCCAGAGTGGCCACCAGGGAAACCTGGGGAGGGCTAGCCTCCCACTAGTTCGAATTAAGGGGCTACACACCCCTTAATTCGAACTAGCTAGTTCGAACTAGGCTTAATCCTCGTGGAATGAGGTTTTCCTAGTTCGAACTAAGCGCTCCGTTAGTTCGAATTAAATTCGAACTAACGGAGTGCTAGTGTAGCGCCTATCAAAGTTAGTTCGAACTAACGTCCGTTAGTTCGAACTAACTTTGTAGTGTAGACATACCCTCAGGCATTTTTTCCATCCTGCTTGAAGTCCTTCTGACGTGCAGAACCTCATGTTCTTTCTGTTCTGTTCTATAGGGTTTTTATACCACTCTCATCACTTGTAGGGGGTGAATTAAGCATTGTGACTATGCATCTATCCCATACTGTTTAGTCTCTCATCTGCCTGCCAGTAGAGAGACATGTGCAGTGGAAAGGCTAACTTTGCATGCCTTTTCTGGAGCAATGTGTGCTTATATGGAAGGCAGCAGGTCAAAGAAGTGCACCTGGCCCTTGGGAGTGGAAGATGGGGAGGTTTTTGCTAATCCTTAGCTCCTGGGCAAGTTCATTTCCCAGGCTCAGACACTAGGGAAGTTTGGTAGCCAGCACAAATGAGCTTTGTCTTTCTCACAGGGGTTCCATTCTGCCAGAGGAGCACATTCATAGTGCCTGGAAGTGGGGAAGGGGAGGGTTTCAACTCATCGACCACAATCATCATAAGCCCTTTAAAAAAAAAACAGGCTGTTGCTTGTCCATTGTTAATAAGGACATCACTCCTGGTGGTTTTGTGCACCTGTCCATTTGCATGTGTGTGTGCATGCACATGTATGAGTAGGAAGAGTAAGACTTAGGTCGGGGGAAGAAAATTGAAGACTAATAGCTGCAGGGATTGGAGCAGGCAGGGCCCCGGCACTCCACCTTTTGCCTGCTGCAATGCAACACACACTGCTGCTGCCAGATGCTGTTGCTCATGAGCCCCCAGGTGCAGCATGTGTTGTCACACCCCTTACCACTCAGCCCCCCTACACCGCTCCTTCTCCTCATCCCCCCCCTTAATCCCAGTCCCTGCCCTCACGCAGTCTCTTCCCTGCAAAACCCCAGCCCCACACTCGCTCTACTCTGCTTACTTCTTCCCACTGCCCTCTTGTGCTAGCCCTTGTGAGACTACTTGCTGTTGCGGGTGCAGATATAGGTAAAAGATGGCTAGCAGATTGCGGATTGATCCTAGCAGATGTAGATGGGATGCAGATACACATTTTGTATCCGTGCAGGGCTATATGTATCTGGTGTCATAACATCATTACAGCCACAGCAAAAGAAAGCTCTACTCAATCCCTTTAGCCCTGGATTGGGATGATTTGTCTGAGGTCGTACCACAAGGGTGGAGCTGTGGGAGATAGAGCATGCTCGGTGCAGATGGAATTGTTGGAGAAAGTGTCTGCCAAATTCTAACAAGTCTCTTCTGAACATGTGCAATTTGAGGGGTTTTTTTCTGTAGCTTATAAACTTGGCCAAATCTGAGTGCATTTTCACAAGGCCAGGAAAAAAAGCACATCCGAGGCACCAGTTCTGCCAAATTTCAAGATCCTGCCCTAAAGCATGGGATCACTAGAGCCTCTCAACCAAAGTTGAGATTTTTTTTAACATAGACAAAAATGTAGCTTTCTCTAAATTAATTTCCCAAAATGTCTGACATGTCTTGATATGTTTTTGCCTAAATGGTTCAGCCTAAGGCAGAGACTTGGCATGAAACATTTCAGACAAAACAATTTAAGTCTGGCAAAGTTACAAGCAACTAAAACAGGGCCTTGTAACAGAATATGTTAGGCACTTTTAGAAGCAATTTTTAGTTGGTTGATTGTTTTCCCTCACGGATAATTGGAGAAATTATATTGTGTGGTATTTTAGTTAGATAGGTATTTTAGAATTTCATATTTTTAACATCTTAGGTGTTCTATCTCCTTATATTTATATTTTGAGTCCTTCTCTTGGGCTACGTCTAGACTACAAGCCTCTTTCGAAAGAGAGCATCTAGACAGCAACTAGTATTTTCGAAAAAGAGAGACGCTTTTTCAAAAGAGAGCACTCAGGCAGTCTGGATGCTCTCCTGCAACAAAGTACTGTTTGCATTCAATAACACCATTTTTCGAAAGAGTACTTTCAAGGTGTTATTCTTCGTAAAATGAGGTTTTCTGCTGTCAAAAAAACTGCCATGTTCTTTTTTTTTAATTTCGAAAGAACGAGACAGTAGTCTAGACGCAGGTGAAGTTTTTTCGAAAAAAAAAACCCCCTGTAGTCTAGACACCCCCTTGATTTTTAGCTTTTGTTCTTTGCTTCCAGAATAGCACTTCTTATCAGCAAAGATTTGTGGCCTGCAAATATTGAATTCATATTGGCTAAGAGCTTAGGGAGGGAGGCCCTGGGACATTCCAGATCATGGGGGTTGGGATAGATGCAAGAAGAATTGGAGAGCAGGCTCAGACAGAGAAGAGAAGGGCCAGAAGTAAGGTCTAGCATCAGAAAGGATGGAGTCAGGGAAGCAGTCTAAGACTAGAAAAGAGTGTGGTGGTTTATGTGGATAGGAATAGGAATTAAGGAGTTATATACACGAAAGGGCAGGGCTTAATCCTTATTTTATCACAGATCAAGATGGTCATAAGAGATGGATCTGGTACAGTCAAATTCAGCAGTTTCTCTGTAAACAAAAATTGCTGCCAAATCAGTTTATAGGACATACTTTAAGGTTGTGAAAAAGAATATTAGAAATAATATAGTTGAAACTAAAACAATTGGAGATGATGTTAACATGTTTCAAACTTCCTCATGATAGATTAGGAGAAAGCTTTCCCAATGATAGCACACCCATTTAAAAATTCCATTTTATAAATGTTTTATTCTGAAGATTACATGATTACATTTAGTTTTGCAAAAAATAAAGTTCATTTCCATAAGTCATTAAAAAAAATATGTATACCTTTTCATATATCAAGCACAAAACTCTATTCTCTCTGAAATCTTTCTTCTTGTGGAATACAAGAAGGTGTTTTGTTTTTAAAGTAGGTCCTGCTTGAAATATACAGTTTCTAGTAGTAATTCATTTATGTTGACCTCTCCTAAAATAGGTCTGAAGAAAAGCTCTGCAATACTCTCTGCAGTAACAGCTTTGAGGCTGGCGAGCAGCCCAAGAATCCAAGCAAATCTGCCTACGTTTTGGTTGTACATCATTGAACTAAATTCCATCAGAGTGTGCTGCGCTTCTAGCTGCAGGGTTTGCACATAGTGACGAAATCTTAGTCCAGGCAGCTCTGTAAAAACAGGAATAAGACAAGGAAAGCTTTTTTGAGTAAAACTAGTTTATGATGTGTCCTCTAATGATTTGTATCCATTCCTCCAATGAAGGAAAGATGGGAAAATGTGCTTCAGTAAACACGGTGTAGCATTTAAACCCCAGTAGAATGCAATCAGCCTATTAGATTAAAAGTGAAGTTTTAGGAAAAAATACAGTATTGGGGAAGTGACTTACGGGGCAGAGTCTGTGTTGTACCACTGAGAGAGAGATCACGGATTGTAAGCTCCATGGGGAGGGTAGCTAAAGTGGGTTTACACCAGCTTTGTATCGTCTCAAACCTTAGCTGCTCGTGAGGCCTGTCCAGGGCCAGCCCGAGCCATTCTTGCACCCTGGGCAGTGGGCGCATGGCACATGTGCAGCCCATCCCAGGTTCACGGCCCTCCCCCTCGGGCAGCAACCTATGGGGGGCACCTGATGCAGCACCCCTTACCACTTCAATCAGACGCCCCCCATAGGTTGCCGCCCTGGGCAGCTGCCCGGCTAGCCCCGCCCTTAATCCAGACCTGGGCCTGTCCAAGGGCTTGTTTACGCAGTGGGGCAATACACTCTATGAGGGTGGGGTTTCTAAAGTGCACTCATGTGTTATGCATTCATTGGTCCTTGCAGACCCTGTGCTTTAGAAGTCACACCACCATAGCACGCCTTATCCCACTGTGTAGCCAAGTTCTAAGTTACAGCAGCCTTCCTGGGGCTACAGCCACACTGCATACCTCTTGCACAAAAGCCTATGCAAATGAAGTGCAGATTAGCATATTGCCATGCATCATTTGCATAATTAATTAGGGGATGTTTTGCGCAAGAGACTTTTTGCGCAAAAACACCCTCTTGCGCAAGAGCCGTTCTTCCTTATTTTTTCAGGAAGAACAGCTCTTGCACAAGAGGGAGTTTTTGCGCAAAAAGGTGCTGTGTAGAGGGCTCCTTTTTGCGTAAAAGCCTCTTGCACAAAACGGCCCCGAATTACTGATGCAAATGAAGTGCAGCAATATGCTACGTCCCGAATTACTGATGCAAATGAAGTACAGCAATATGCTAATCCTCACTTCATTTGCATAGGCTTTTGTGCAAGAGGGATGCAGTGTAGACATAGCCTGGGTTTCCCTGTTGCCCTAGTGCCGCCCCGCATCAGCCACTCTGTATGCTGTGACTACTCTGAGCACACCTGTCTGGTCATTAGCCCTACCCTAGCTCACTCCCTACTCAAGAGCTTGTAAGGGGTGGTTTTCAAAAAGCAGCTTTATAGCTGTTTAATCTCGATACCTGCATGGGGGTATTCTCCCACAGTCATCTATGCCGGGCTTTGGATACCCTTTTATGTCCCTCTGGCCTTTATACTGCTGTAAGATGGGGGCAGAACCAGGGCTGAAGAGCTCATCCATGCTACTTTAATCACTTGGATACTGTTCTTCTGAACTATTTCACTATAAGACCCCGATCTAGCAAAGCACTTGGACACATGCTTAACCTTAAGCCTAAGAGCGGTCCCATTGACTTCAAACATACCCAGTTATTTTTAGGATCATGCTAAACCCAATGAAGTTACTGTTACCACATCAGTGCAAAATCTATAATCGGTGTGAGGTGAATCCCAGGCCTTTAAATATGATCAGATTTAATACCAGTAATATACCAAAACAGTTAATGTGGCCACAGGGTAAAACTGTGCATGGTGTGACATTGAATTAAGCCATTTGTAACCCAGAGGCACTGAGAAGGAAGAATCAAGTCTGCTCTACAGCCTTAAGTGTCCAGACAGTTGGCTAGTAGTTCCTGTGGTAGAGGCTCATGGCTTCAGGCCCGAAGGGGCCAGGTTTCAATCCCTCCTTCTGATGACGACCCCAGTCCAACAGCTTTACGCATAAATATAAATAAAGGAAAGAGGTTATAATAAAGACTTCTTTAGCCTGTCGCTGGAAATTTCAGTGAAGTTACTGAATGAAATGAAGCAGCAGTTAGGAAAGCTGAATGACAGTATAAATCTAATATTCCACTGACCTATAGTAATATAATTCATCCTGAATGTCTCCTAATTTTCAATATTATCATAAAAATAGGACCTCAGGGTCCCATTACATTGCATTTAACTAATGTGGTGGTAGTCACAAGCTTTGACAATTACAGCAAAATGTCTGTATAGAGAAGTAATTGGAGTCTTTCCTTTATGCGTCTAGATAAAGTGCTGCAAGTCACGCAGTGAGTGCGCACACCCTTGTTTGCAGTTAGTGTAATTTATTTATTTGCATGAATGAGTTGTAGAACACCTATCTTCACAGCTAGGCCCTTATCCATACAGTTCAAATTTGTTAGTGACATACAGCTATAATTTTTTTAAAGGAAATTGTTAAAAGCGAAGTTAAATAAATACATAGCACCTGCTGCAAGGGGCACCATCCTTCAGGATACTCAGTGCTCAGGCATAATCCAGCACCACATTTAAGGTGATGTTTAAGGTTAAAATATGCAACAAGCCTGACTGAAACCAGAGGTCAGTCCCTTGAAGTCCAAGAGACTGGGGTTCTGGTGAACTGAACAGGGATAGAATTCCCAAGGCAAAGGCTCTGAGCTTGCTTTAATGTAAAATTAACTGCAGGCATTGTGGCTGCCATTTCTCTTTGCCTGACTCCATGTGGTCTTATATTCAACAATTCCATTGAACCCCCAAGACGTGGATTGGGGCTTGTGAAGAACAAATCTCCACACAGTATCTTCCCAGATTATTCCAAGGGGCAGGGCTTGCCATTCCTCCAAAAAGTTCATGCATTGTAACCCCAGACCTGAAGGCCCCCAAGGATTTATGGGGTTCCCAATGCAATCCAGAGGGAAACCTCATGCACTGGCTATGGGCTCCAGTAATATCCCTTGATCACTGGCAGTGCAGCTTCAGTTGGATTCTCCTGACTGCAGCCAGAAAAGGGGATGTACCATAGTGAAAATGGTACAACTCCAGGCTGTTTTCATCCTCCAAGGAGCCTCCACACTCTGGACCAGGAATGATGTATATGCCCTTGACCCTGCCCCCTAACATTCCCACCCTTTGCCTCCATAACCCCATCCCTCACTCCTTTTCCCAGCATAGACCTTAGGTCCATAGAGCAGTGCCTTCTGCAGGGTCCAGAGGAGGAGGAGTACCACAAAAAGAGCAGACACCACTCCCCCAGGGGCGGGGAGATCACTGCATGACATTTACCCTATATTTGTGCCTCTGAAGGAGGAGCATCCCACCCACAGCTCCAAGTGCTGAAGATTCCACCTTACTCACAGTGCTCAGATCCTGCAGCTCATGTATAATGTCTGATTTGTTGATGTGCTCTCAACAATAAATATTTCACATGGTTTGCAATGTTGTAGCCAGGCTGGTCCCAAGATCTGAGAGGGACAAGGTGGGTGAAGCAATATCTTTTATTAGACACAACCTTTCTTCGGGCCCGAAACAGACCTTTCTTCAGGCCCGAATCAGACCTCTGTGGAGCTTGAAAGCTTGTCTCTTACATCAGCTGAAGTTTGGTCCCATAAAAGATATTGCCTCGCCCACTTAGTCTCTCTATTTTGGGCATTTAGGCAGTCCTGTTGCAATATGTTAAATTGTATACATACATCCCTCTCACATATTTAATGCAGCCATATTATCTCCATTCATATGTCTGGAAATCAAAGTTGTAAGTGACACAGTAAGTTTTTATCACCCAATAATTTCTTAATAACAGGCTTTTAAAAGCCATTTATTTTTACAAAGAGTAACATATAAAGCTAGATATCTCCAGAAATAAATCTAGAAGAAAATGAATTACATTGTTGAATGCAAATTTTGAAAGTGGTTAGCTAAAATGACAGCAATCAGTTTAAAAATCCAAATATCAGTTGGAATATTAAAAATATTTGTAAACACAAATATACAATTAGCTTTGCACTATGCCTACAAATATTGCAGTGGAACTTACCAGGGTTAAAGAGAATAATTCCTTTCAGGTAGGCATATTCTTTTGCACATATGTCCAAATTCCAGAACATCTCCAGGGAATTCTTCATCTTCTGAACTTCTGCTAATGATGCTCCCGGGGAGTTCTCCCCTTTCTCAGTATCTGTCAAAGATTGATTGAGAAGAATTTTTTTCAACAAACTAGGGACTGAAATCACTTTCAGTTCAAAATCCATGCACTCCTGTGCCAGCCCCAAGACAAAGAGAGGGGCCCAACATTTTTCTACTAAAAGTGCCTGATCCTCCTGAGGCAAACGATAAAAAGAAGGCAAGTTTCTTATAAAAGTTACAGTCTTTAAGAGCACTTCAGAAGCTCTCAGGCAGGTGACTTCTGGAGTTCTGAGGACAACTTTCTGGTTGCCCTCACAGGGACAGCCAGCACTTGATATAGAGTATCCAGGATGGTAGCACTGGGGGTGCCATCTGATCTCATCCTGTTCTTCTTTGTTAAGGATCCGGTAAAGGATGCTCTGCGGATGACTTGTCTCACACTGACATTTCCCACACTTCTCATGAGAGGCCTGGGTAGCCATATCTACTTCTTTGAGGTTTTCCTGAGCAGTGCACTCACTACGTGAAGACACTATATGCAGATCTATGCAGCTGTAGTGCAAGAGAGTCTTTCTGCCAAACAACTAGGCATTGTGTGCTTTTTATAAGCTTCGCTGGACTGAAATGTGACCCTGAGCTATAAAGCTGCCTTGAACTTTATTTGCTTCAGTATGTTTTTATTCACAGCCAAACAAGGCGTGGCTTAACCAATGCCAATATCTTTCATGACTGAAATTATCTGTGAGAGGGGCAGGGTTGGCTGGCTGAGAAACACAATAGAAGAGGTATTCTTTGCTGTCTGCCATCATTGCAATTTTGTAGTGACTGCCCCCATGCCATGATGCCAAGGACTCCAATGTTGTCGACTGTAGTAATATTTTTACAATTGCAGGCTATCTATCATATATAGCTTGCCCTTGAGAGGAAGATCAGCATACTTTTCTGTTAACTTCAGAAACAAGCTACTTGTACTTTTATAGATATATTGACCATGTTGTGTCCATGGCAAAACAAGGTTCAGAATGTATTTATACATACTAGCATTACCTGTCCTGTTGTGACAGTAGACATATACAGGCAGTCCCCGGGTTACGTACAAGATAGGGACTGTAGGTTTGTTCTTAAGTTGAATCTGTATGTAAGTCGGAACTGGCGTCCAGATTCAGCCGCTGCTGAAACTGATCAGTTTCAACAGCG